CTCTTAAATAAAATTCTAATATTCTTTATAAAGCATGAAGGTGCAAATAACAATTAATTCTTAAATGAAATTATTTACTGATTGTTATTTTACTAATTGTTTAAATTGTTTACTCTGCAATACTTTTTTTTTTTTTTTTTTAATGTCCAAAAATATCTTAAACACACCGTGATGAAACCTTTTCCGCTGCTAAAAAACTAAAAACAAACAAACAAAAAAACACTTTATCTTCTCTGTAAATAATCTACAGGAGAGGCCTGTCTGATAGATTTACTCCAGTTAGGGGGTTCTTGAAAACCATGATGTGTCTTTGTTCTCGCAGAAGTCCAGCAGCTGTTGGTGAGGAAAGAAGACCAGGACCAGGAGGACCCAGAGCCCCCTCACATTAAAGAGGAGCAGGAGGAGCTGTGGAGCAGTCAGGAGGCTGATATCAGCGAGTTCTCCTCCTCTCCTGTCCCTGTGAAGAGTGAGGATGATGAGGAGAAGCCTCAGTCTTCACAGCTTCATCACAGCCACACTGAGGAGAACAGTGACTCTGTGGGAGAACCAGAACCAGATTTACACCATGAAGACAGAACTTCAGACTCCTCAGAGACGGACATCAGCGATGAGGATTGGACTGAACCCAGGGAGCCTGCATCAGGCTTAAACTCTGTGAAACATCACAAAGACTCGTTCACATGCTTCGACTGCGGTAAAGCGTTTGTTCACAAGACAAATCTGAAACGACACATCAAGTGCCACAGTGGAGAGAAACCGTTCAGCTGCTCGTTTTGCGGGAAAAGCTTCACTCGGCGGGAACATCTGATTGCTCACATGAGATGTCACTCAGGAGAGAAGCCGTTCATCTGCTCGGTTTGCAACAGCAGCTTCAGCCACGGCTGGTCGCTGGACAAACACATGAGAGTCCACAGTGGGGAGAAACCATTCAGCTGTTCACTGTGCAGCAAGAGATTCAGGCAGCGCTCGGACTTGGCTGCACACTTCAGGATTCACACGGGGGAGAAACCCTTCTCCTGCTCAGTTTGTAGCAACAGTTTCACTCAGCGTCACACTTTGGTTCAGCACATGAGGACCCACACTGGCCTGAAGCCGTTCACCTGTTCAGTGTGTGAGAAAAGATTCTCACGAAAAGGTCACATGACGAGACACATGGCAGCTCACACCGGGGAGAAACCCTTCAGCTGCAACGTTTGTGAGCAGAGATTCACGTGGCAGTCGCAGTTTAAAAGACATGAATGTGGTGCAGAGAGCAGCAGCCTGAAGTGAAGCTTTTTTCCCCTGCAAACCTCTGAGAGGACGTACAATAAATGTTCTAGAGAAACAAATCCGATGTTCTGTCTTTTGTGAGCAGGTCTGAGCAGAAACACTCAGAGTGTCTTGAAGTTATGTCTAAATGTTGATGCAAAAGTTTTATTTTTAATTCTGCCCCTCGTCACAGCCCTAAAGAAGTACTTCTACTGTATTTGAAAGTTAGCGTTCACTTTCTGAGAGATTTAACTCATCTCCAGTTGGTATCAGAAAGTTATTTTAGTTTGGCATAAAAACAGAAACAGGATGAAGCAGCTTGTCAAACTGTTCAAAAGTCCACTGTCGAAACTCACCAGTTAACATCCTGTGTGTAATTTGTTTTATCCTCTGAACCCCCAAAACCTGGTGAATTTGAAAGGCATATGATTGTTATTATTATTAGGGTCCGAGCACACCAGTGCAAGGACCCTATTGTAACCGTTTTGATTATTTATTATTTATTATTATTATTTATTATTATTTTATCGACTTTTGAAACGCGTTTTTGAGGACCTAAACATGATCGAAAACTCACCAAAATCGCCACGCACATCAGGACTGCCAAAAAAATGGATATTTTAATGGACTTGGACATGTCACTGCCAAAATGGCTCCACAGCGCCACCTTGAAAATTTCAA